GTTATGCCTTCACCTACAACTAGACTTGAACCGGTCTACTCGCCCCGGTGCATCCTCCACGGCCAAAATACTCTTGCCTTTGTTACAGGAGTTTCCGGACCGCGTGAAAATTTCCATGTTTCGAAGCCCACATCTTCGAGGAATACTTGCGAAGCTGGTACCTCCACGATTCAATGAAGGGTGGGGCACATGGCATGCCAAAATTTATGGCGTTGATGACGAGGTCATCATAAGCGGGTACGTGGACTTGAATGCAACAGCAAAAATATAGACTTCCTCATGTCATGCACAGGGCCAACCTTAATCAATCTTATTTTACGAACCGTCAAGACCGATATATCCACTTTGCGAACCAGCCAAGCCTCGCTCAATACTGTTTCGACTTCCTTCAAACGATATCTACCTTTTCATACAAGCTATCTTTTGGCCCTGGTGCTGCGCCCCATTCGTACCAACATGAAGGATACTTCCTTGATTGGCCTGATACTCAAACACATCCTCACAATATACACTCGAAAGCGCAGGTAGCGCTATCCACGTTCCAATCATCTCAGCGTGCAAAACACGGACTGCATGGTAAGGATTTGGTGGCACCAGGAAACAGCACGGAATCCGACAGTGTCCTACTCTTCCCTGTAATACAAGCGGGGCAATTTAATATTCGTGAAGAGGAATTCGCACTTTCCCTTCTTTTCCGCAACCTGGACGCCTCGGCAGTAGTTAGAAATGACCAGGGTGAGCATGCCGCTGAAGAGCATCGGCCCCTGGTAGACCTCACCAGCGGTTATTTTGGCCTTTACGAGCCCTACCAGAACCTCGTCCTCGCCAACAACGTGTCTACGAGGATTGTCGCTGCGAGTCCCAAGGTTTGCCTGTCTCATCTTTCTGCTCTGCTATGCTGAAGTCCGGTATTTTTAGGCAAATGGTTTCTTTGGATCAAAAGGAATCTCAGGCCGTATACCTGAGGGCTATACGCTGTTGGAGCAGCGATTCATGTCTGCCGTGAAGCGGGCAGGCCGCTTATGGAAACAAAAGTCAGGTGTACAGCTCACAGAGTGGGAAAGAGAAGGTTGGACATATCACGCTAAAGGTGTGCATTATTCTTCTTTTACACTGTCCAAGCTCAATTCGATTCAGGTATATGGGTATCGCCCACTCCTTCCTCTCCTCCTGTTCTCACCCTCTTCGGCTCGACGAATCTGAACTCCCGCTCTGCTCATATTGACACGGAGTTGTCATTCGTTATGGTTGTTCCCTCTTCCCAGGCTAGCCTGCCAGCAGGCTCCACAGATATAAAGACGACCTCGCCAACTTTGGTTATCAGGAGCCAACTAAAGGATGAGATCAAGGGGCTGCGGGATCACGCTATTGACTGGAAAGGTGGCCAAAGGAGTGTGAGGTTCTGGACGAAGGTCATCGTTAGAATTGTCAAGGGAATGCTCTAATAGACATTGACTTGGGAAGCTGTACTGCACTGAGGCAATTCACGTTTCAACGAGGAACCCATTCCTCCCCTGTGCTCTCATCATGTCTACGGTAGCGTGATAACGAGTGAAGTACACTGCCCCACTTGAGGACAGAGGTTCTTTTCCCATGAAACCAGGTCTTGACCTCCTCTAACCAATCAAATGTAGCAACCACATCTTTATATACAACATCTTTCTATGAAGAGTCCGCCACTCCATCCTCCTTTGCGAGTTCCTCCTCTTTCTTTGCATCTTCTTCATAACCTTCTACCTTGATATCATTAAGCCCGAGTTCCTCATTCTGGTCCCATGTCCGATCATACATCTCAATGGTCATGTTAGGATCTGGGTCAGGAGCGTAGAGATTCTGCATGTAGGAATTCGCGAGGGGGTCATCGAGGATCACAGTGAAAGGCCGTTCAGCGTTCTTGACCTGGGATATCAAAGGGGCGATCAGGATATCGTGCTGTGCCGAAGTCGATCACGGACAAGTCACTCGCCTCTTTCAAGTTCTTGAGGAAAGTCTCGAAATCGACCTTTTCGGACTTCTTAGATGCATCTCCTTGAGCGAAGACTTTTTCAGAAAGCTCCTCGTAGACTTGGTTGAGGATACCCTCGAGCGTTGTAAAGCGGCCACCAAGGGTGCCATGCTGGAGGACAAGGTCAATTTCTGGGATACTAAGTCCCGCCGTTTCACTCTACACAAACATATTGCATTTTAGACCATCGGAAACAGAAATGCAGAAAGGATGAACGTACCTTTAGAATGTCGCGGCTCAAATCATCGCGATCCTCCACTTTGAGCGTTATTCTCTTTCCCTGCTCAGATATCGCCGATCCTGATTTGACTTCATTATCACGGTATCCACATCTATCGCAATTAGTAGACATAATAAGAATATCCTTCGTACATATGTCCGGTTTAGTGAATCTGACAGTGGATGGCTGAAGAATCACGTACTTTGAAATAAGGGATCGTAACCTTCTTCATCATCGTGTCCAACGGATGCCCACAGCTTGAGCAATGGCCATGGAATACGAAAACTTCATCATCTGTCACCGCTTCAGTAGTTATCTCATCTCCCTCCTTCGCAGTGGTCGATTCCCCAGTAGTCGACGCCGCCTGGTCAGCCGATATCAGTCCAAGCGCCACATTCTGCTCGAGAGTTCGACGATACTGGCGCATATTCCATTTGGGGTCCGCCATGCTGGCCATAAACTCGATCCATGAATTACCCGCCGGATCGTCCAATTTAAGGGTGAATGGCTGCAGCGGCGCGTCTTTATCAGCTGCCTTCACAGCATTTATCTCGCCCATTTTGGTCTCGTCATCGTCCTCGTCCTCATCACCAAGGATGGCTTTTAGCTTTTCCACAAGGCCCTGGATCGTGGCGTACCCCTCAGGATCCTGAATGCGTCGCAGGGGCTGATCCATGTTCAGATCGGTATAGACGTCACGGATAAGTCCCTCAACGGTCGTCAGTTGCCCTCTCGACGTCGGTGGTAAGGTCAGGTCGAGCTCTGGAATGATGATTTCGCAGCTCGGGGATCGGACAATTTGGCGGTCGAGGTCAGATCGAGCCAGGATTCGTGCAGTGTACAAAGCTCCTTCCTCTATTCTACAGTCAATCATATCTTGGGAGGAGAAGTAATCGGAAAACGAATCACCTTGTATCTTTCCAGCAGACTGAATTTCATTATTTGATGTTCCACAATGTTCGCAGCGGAATGACATGACGATGACTTCCCGAAAATATGGAATCGAGGTGAGCATGAGTCTCGTAACACCCTACTGGGACCGTTCAGAGGCGATGGTCAGCGTACACCGAGCCCAGGAGATGCTGACCTCCTCTCGACAGTTCATACAGAGCGACGCAACCTCTTGGACGACTTTATCCTCGACATCATCGGTTTTTTCCACGGGAACAACGGACTCATCAGCCTTGACTGCGAGTGACCCAATAGCAGGGAACAGAGTTTCGTTCTGCGACATATCGACAAGTTGAGTGGAGTAGAAATTTGGGAAGAAGATCAGAAACAAAAAGTTAATTATCTTATCATGAAGTGTGATGGCACAGATAAGGTAATCTTCACTGATCTTCCTATCTTCTGATAACTAATGCCACGGTCTACGTACGACAACTACAGCCTGCAAGGAATCGTGCAATCGTAGTAGAAAAAGGGAAATCCGGGAACCAGGAGACAGAGCCGTTTGAATGCGCCAATCCAGGTTTGAGTAGCTAAGTCCTGCGATTCCGTCATATTCTTTGCTAGTATATCGGTTAGTACACGCGCCTGTCATTAATGGTGCGCGCGAAAGCTGGGTTCAACTCCCAGGCAGAGAGTCAGAATTCATTCATCAATTATTTTTAGATTCAACCGGGACCTTGCCGTCCAATGTCAAGCTTTGTGAGATCAGACACTGCCACGTTCTCGTTGGTCTTTGAATCCTTCCCTAGAGCAATTGTTTCAAGTCCCTCTTCATCTGCTTTCAGCGAGAAATGTTGTTTTCCAATCATGAGCTCATTCAAGAGGGCGACCACACAATATACATATTCAGTCAACAACGCAAGGGATGACTCCGCGCCAGCATTCAAAGTTGAAGGTTTGAATGGTGCAGTCAGTGATGGTTCAATGACCAGTAAGCTAGCTTGCGCAGGTAAAGATGTCCCGGAAATCGTGGTAATAGATGTTTGAAGCCCAAATCATAAGATCCAGCAGCAGATTCAAAGTACAAATAGAGACAGAGGGACCAGTTGGGGAGCAATGATGCGCGTTACGAGCATTGAGAAAAATGTGAAATAATGCACTATGCCAACATTCGACTAACTATGACGGGAGAGCAAGGTGCGGATAGTCGGTACACAAAAGATACGCTCCGAGTCTTTTTGTATCGCGCGAGAAGTTTTCACCGGTTCTGAATAAGAAAACGCTTCAGAAACCGCACGATAGAAGATTGCATCTGCTTACCTTGGTGAAGCCGATAGCAGCAGCCTTCTCACGGAAGCACTGACGGCAGAGATCGAGGCCGTATTTGCGGACAAGACCGGCCTGGTGAGCGCAGAGGCGGCTGTGAATTCCGACTCACGTTTCAGCATCTTCGCCCATCTGCACAGATAATCCGTAGGACGCACCATTGACGGGAGCCCTTTCCGAACTTCCTGGGGCGAGAGAACCAAACGGCGTCGTGTGTCATTTTTTCTAAGTGTCTTGAGGAGCCTGGGTGTTGGTCAATAGGGAACACGGAGCGGGCAGCGATGGGACACTCACTCTGCCCGGGGGTGGCGATGGCGATTTTTGGCGTTGGCGGCGGGGATTATTGGTGGAGGGATCAAGCGCGTGCCGCTTATGTAAACTGCACAGAATACAATTTAGAGTTCGATCTCCGATTCAATTGTTGGCAATGTGTTGACCAGATTGCGACGGGAATATTAGTCAGCCCTTGAAACCTGCGTTTATGTTATGCATTGGAGGGCGGCGTTGAAGAAATAAATGTGCTCCCAAGAACATCAATTCAAAAAAGAAGCAATACTTTGGGGGCACCGCGGATTGAACGCGGGACCTTCAGAAGCCATAAGATTGCTAAGATACTTCAGTCTGCTGCTCTCCCAACTGAGCTATGCCCCCGTGATGTAAGCCACATCGTGCATCAGATGTGACGGGTGTGACATTACCTTGAGTGAGGTGTTGCGCACAGACCTGTTAATCGACGACGACGAGGATGTCACAGCGTGGCTGAGCGCGTGTTGGGCTGCTCCCTCCATGCCGACCAGATCTCGCCAGCAACAGGGCAATCGCCCAGGCAAGCTCTCTCTTCTTTCTCTTCTACATTTACCTCACTGTTGGCGCCACAGCACCGGTCCTTGCTCGTCTCCAGGGTCTCTTTCCTCCAAGTCCCAGCCATGTAACTACGCCACAGCAAGACAAGGCCCTCCCTCCTCTCCCTCCTCTGCCCCCGCGCAAGGTCCTAAAGGTCCGCATCCTCACATGGAACATGCATGATTCCGTCCCCAAGGTGCGTGTCGTGTCTCGTGTCGTATGTAAACTTTCCAACCTGATCATCCTGCAGGGCGACTTGGAAGAGCTGTTTGGAAAGGTGCCACTCTGGAGCCCGCCCACCTCTCCTTCACCACCGCCAGAGACGATTCCTAACTATTCTGCAGAGGAAGCACACCCATACCACCTCGTCATAGTGTAAGCACCACGCGACGCGTTCCTGATCCTGTCTCGCCTCATCTTGCTTAATCGCCTGTTCTCCACAGCGCGGGCCAAGAATGCCCTTCTCTCTCTGGTTCGTGATCTCTCGACTTTTGCTTTCCCAAACTTATCGGCTACAGGTATTCCAATGGGCCTCGGCGCAGGCTTCAAACTCATCGACAAAGAAAAGGATCGCGAGCGAGATCGCGAATCTGACAAGATTCGTTCCCGCCACAGCCTCAAAGAACCGCATTACAACCACAAATCTCCCTCTGATGACTCCCCACACCCCCACGACCCCCCAACAGGCTGGACCTCCCTCCTCGAATCCTACCTCTGCTCAGGCTCTCCCTCCTCTCGCGGCTCATCTTCCCCTACGGTAGCCGACATTGGCTTTCCCAAACCTCTCACTCCTCGTCCTCCGTCCCGCGAACCCAAGAAGGGCCCGTATATGCTCCTCGTAAAGGAACGTATGATGGGTATCTACCTTGCCGTGTTTGTGCATCGCGATATCAGGCATTTGGTCAAGGGGACGTCGCGGTCCGCGGTGACGGCGGGCCTCATTGGAGGAAGAGTGGGGAATAAGGGCGGAGTCGGCATCACGATGAATATCGGGGGAACGACATTCTTGTTTTTGAATGCTCACTTGGCCGGTTCGTGAGGTGCACATCCTGGTCATATCAATGCTAATATCTCTATAGCGCATGAAGGAAAGGTAAACCACCGTCTGTCCAACTTCGCCAAAATCAAGGTCTGTTTTCATCTCTTCCTTCTTCTTCCTTCTCCTGACTGAATATCCATAGGCAGAACTTTCTGTCGACGATTTTCTTTCCAACGATGATCCCCGCGTAATGGCCGAAGGTACTCCTCTTTCCTTCTTTCTTCCCCGTGCACCCTGCTAACACCCATGCAGACATCACCGATAAATTCGACTACACTTTCCTCTTCGGGGACCTCAACTTCCGCCTCGACATATCCCGGCTGCACGCCGACTGGCTCATGTCCCGTAAAGGTTTGTCTTTCCCCATGCATATTTACCCACCACCGGACTGACCCGCACACCAGAATACGCCCAAGCTCTCGCCTTCGACCAACTCACGAACCTCATGCGCTCGGGCGAGGCCTTTGTCGGATTCTGCGAAGCCCCCATCTCCTTTCCCCCAACCTTCAAATACGACGTCCTGCGCACGCTGAAGCACGCAAAACGCCGTGGGTCGCGTATGGATCGGTGGCGGAGGCCCGGGGAGCGATCGCACCGGCTCACAGAGGTCGAGGAGAAGGAGCTTGAGGAGCTCGAAAAGTTGAAGGCTGCTGAAGAACAAGAGGAAGATGGTGAGGGAGAGGAAGGCGCTTCGGTGGCTTCATCCATGTGGACTTCTGCACACTCGACACGTGCAACGGAGCGGGATATGGACCTAGAGGACGAGTTCTTCTCCTCGCCCTCGTCGCATACGATGGGCAATGGTGCTAGTACGAGTAATTCATCGTCCAAGCTCCCTGCCGTCCTCCACGTCGCGCACAAGGCCAAGACCAAGTGGCTTTCTCTCCTCTCCTCCTCTGGTGTCACCAGGCCCAAATCACTCAACTCGCCTGGAAAGCAACCCCTTGGACGAGTGGGGACACGCAGCTCAGTCGACCTCACTTCCCAAAATACGGGACTCCTCACACCCGTGATGACACCCCAGCGACCATCTTCCGTCGATCCTGCATACGACACCAAAGGCGGCGGCGAAGACAGCAAAAATCGGCTCCGGCCTCCACCCATGATCCTCGTGAACAACTCCACACGATCCAGCCTTCCTAGCTCAGACGACTCGGTCTCCGCACCAGGCCCCTCCAAAGACGATGCAGATATCGACAAAGGTGTATATGACTCATCGCACAAGAAGCGTGTACCGAGCTGGTGCGATCGAATACTGTGGAAGTCGACCGTTGAGCCGGAGCCGGAGCCAGAACCAGAGCCAGAGGCTGAGGAGCTACTGCGGCCGAGGACGCGTGTGGGGCAGTTCTTCGCCAATGCATTCCGGCCATTGAGCGCGAGGGCGAGGAAGGATAGCGTGGCGTCAGGGGAGTCGCGGACGTCTGGGGGGTCTGTTGAGGACAACGTTAATATACATATGGTACCGTCCCCAGATGCACCGATGATCAATGCCCTCGACGATTCTGCGCCTTTCTCACGCTTTGTGCAGTCTCAGTCCCCACCAAAGATTTCGCTTCCACCTTCGCGCTCGCGACCCACCTCGCCTACGCGGCACCACACGGACCCCGAGCACACTCTCATGCGAACTAGCTCGGCCTCTGCACCAGGGCCGTACCGGCGGATGACCGCGTCAGGGCTCACCTCTCCGTCGCTCTTTTTGCAGAGCCAATACCCACATGTCAACGATACCCACGCGCCAGCGTCCGCGTCGTCGCGCTGGCGGTTCTTCCCCTCGTTTTTCTCACATGCTACTACTACACAGAGCACAACTTGTATAGAGCAACAGTCGTCGGGTGTCGATGGAGGAGCCTTGGCGCCGCCTGTGCCCCCGCCACCTCGGAAGGGAGATGTGGTGTGTTTGAGCTATGAAACGCTCGACGACCGGGGGATGCGGCGCCTGGAAGGACGGAGCGACCACCGGCCAGTAATCGGGACATACGCAGTGTATATTTAGAAGTGGAACCCTATTGTAAGGTTTACATAAATAAATAGAGACTTGTCGACAACCATCACCATTACGCAGCAGCCATGTCTGCGCCTGACTTTGGGTTTGTGTCTTCTGCCCATTCCAACCACTCGACATACACGCTGGCCACTGTCCACTCTGACGACCATGACGACCGCTCGCCGCTGCTGTCCCCGGTGACGCCCTCCTATGGCACCTCCAACTACCCCCACTCCCCCGCACGGCCCAACCACCGCAGGATCATCCTCAATGCAACCCTCAAGATGGCCGCCATCTTTGTCGTCTCCAGTCTTTTCCTCGGGGCGGCGCTCTGGCTGGCCCTGCCGACTCTAGAAGAGTGAGCACCGAGCACGACAAATGAAGTTTTACTAATGGCACCACTGCAGACAGGACCGGCCGCGACTACGGATTCCAAAGTCATTTGCGCAGCTGCAGGACCTCAACGGACTGCTCAAGAAATATCGCGACATCTACCCGTACCGCATAGTCATCTGCTATGTGATCACCTACCTTTTGTAAGTCCTTTCACTTCTTCACAAGTCCCCTTGGACCCACTTTCCACAGCCTCCAAGCCTTTTCTCTCCCAGGCTCAATGTATCTCTCCATCCTCGGCGGCGCAGTCTGGGGCGTCGCCCGCGCACTCCCCCTCGCATGCTGCTGCGTTGCGACCGGAGCAACCCTCTGCTACCTTATTTCCGCAGCCCTCGGCCCTGCCCTCCTTACCCTCCCCAAATGGAAAGCCCTCCTTGACAAGTGGGCCGCCAAGATCCAGGCCAACAAAGAAAACATGATATCCTTCCTCATCGTTCTCCGCATCGCACCACTCCCACCACACTGGGTCGTCAACATCGTATGTCCCCACGTCGGCATTGGGATCGTCCCATTCTGGATTAGCACGGCTCTCGGCATCCTCGGTGTCACAGTGATCCACACCACCATTGGCGGTGGTCTCGATGAGATGACCAGCGCAGACGACTTCCACCTTATCAGCTGGCGCAACTTCTTCGGTCTCGCTGCCGTCGTGGTAGGCGTCATGATCCCCGTCGGACTCCGCTACTGGTTCCGCAAAGAAGTTGACAGCGTCGTTGAGGCCGAGGACGGCGAATCACTGACCGAAGAACCCCGTACGGGTGCCATCCATCTCGGAGACGAAGAGGATGGAGATACTGTCCTCGCCATCGGCCCTCCCCCAGTCGTCAAGAAGATCAACGGCGTACGGGTTCTCGTACCCCGAGACCAGCAGGACGAATATGCCGACTCTGATTCTGACGGAGACGTCATACTCGAATCTGGGCCTCCCATTCCGTCGAAAGACGACAACGACAGCGAGTCACAGAGCAGCGACGGCAGCATCACCGACCTCATTGGCAACGCAGCCTCTAGCTCAAGTTCACGGAGCACTAATACGCACACATTGCCATCATAGACTGTGCCTGCTCCGCCTAACCCTCCATCTCTGCTTTCTGTCTGTATTACCTTGCATCTTACACACCTACCTACACGCATCGCATCCCCACCTCACGATCATGGCCTCATGTGTTTGTTCTTTTAATCTGGCTCTGTAACGACGTGTAATGCCACCTCTCTTTTACATCGCCCGCTTTCCCCCTGGTTTTCGGGTACAACTACCAATACCCTAGAATCACTAATCATCCATTCGTAAAAAGGAGTTTCCACAGCCGCCTTTAACTTATCATCCACCCTTTTTTTTTTGTTCCTTTCGTGGTTTAAGCCACCAACAACGAGGATTTTATGTGCATTACA